TTTTCTGATATTACCTAGTTGTGAGGAAAATGTTCACATCAAAGAGTGAAAAAAACAGAGCTTATTATACAGTATAATCATATAGAATATTGTAAATATATATATATAATGCATATATAAACACTTTCATAAAATTAGGATCATAATGTCATATTTTCTAGCACATGTCATAGAATTAGCATCAAGGTTAAGTAATACAAAAAAGGTTATAAGCGGTCATTTCTAGGTGGTGGGATTTTTAATTTTCATCTTCATACTTTTCTGGGCTTTTTTTTTCCCCAGAATACTTATGAGTACATTTTTCCTACAAAAATCAGAGAAGTATTAATACTTTTGTTAAAGTATTTAATGCCGCATCAATCCTCACCTTCTCTCTTAGGTTTCAGGTCCTCTATAAACTGGGTCCCTTTTCCCTTCTAAACTTATTTCTCACTGCTCCGCATTAGTCATGTCCCAGTTCCCTCTATGAGATATCCGTCCTCACCTGCTTTCCCTAATGTGGTGCCGTGTGACTTCCCACTGAGCACCAGGCATTGTTGCAACGGAAACATTCACAGAGACTCTCATTTATCCTGCCTAACAATTCTGAAAGGTAGGGATTATTATTCGCACTTTAAAGAGACAGGAGGGCAAGGAAATGGTGTTTGTTCCACTAAACAACAATTTTCTACCCACCCTTTCTCTAACTTTCTTCTATACAAATGTTTTTGGCTCAGCTCGGCCATTTTCTTGCAGGGTGACCTTAGGCAAGCTCCTTAACTTTTTTAAGGCTCAGAGTTGTTATGTGTAAATGGTGGAAACAATGGTACAAATATCATAGAGCTGGTGTGAAGATGAACAGAAATGATCTGCCCAGTCTGTACGGCACACACAGTGCCTGGACTGCTATATTATCACTACCACATCAGGTCCCTCCTTGCCTTCCATCCCCTCAGACCCAGGCCCTCCTTGTACTTGGTACTTGGTACTTGATTGTTTTGCACATACTAGCTTCAAATCCTGAACCACTTAACAAGCTTCCAACAGGAAGAGACAGAGCCTTCTCCCCCTTCTCCATCTCCCACCACATCGAGTGCTATGAAATGTTCTGACTGGAATCAATAAATATCTAATAGTTGAATAATCAGTAGCATTATTTCTTATGCCAACCCATGGACAAACTTTTGCATAAATTCTCCTACAGAGTGAGCAGCCATGTGGATTTGATGGGGGTCTCCCAGATATGTTACTTGCCAGCCAAAGACGGAGAAGAGACCTGTCTACTTTATTCAAGCAAACCTAAACAGCCTGCATGTTGTTGTGAGCTGGATACCCACACTACATTCCTTAATAGGCTCCCAACAAATACCAATTATCTAGCTAACTGCTTTCCGTGCCTTCTAGTCCTAAGCCCAAACATCACTTGCTAGATTTCAGTGAGATAGAGCATCTCCATAAGGAAACTTAGATAAGGCATTTCTGACAAAATCCTTCTCCGTAAGGAATAAGGGATTTCCACAAGGAAACTTTTATAAGAGATTTCATGAGAAATGCCAACCCTGCCTTTGGGTCACTGCACACACACACCCATCTCCTACAACCTCTGGCTGCTGGACTCACTACTGGGCAGTCACAATCCAAGATCAGAATGTTGAGTCTGACATGCTGCGAGCTTTTTAGCCATCCAAGAAAACAAACAAACAAAAAACCCAGCTTTGTTTAGTATACAACATTACTAAAGTAGTATTGTCACCAGAAAAAAGTACCCTGATCCAAGCCCCAAGAGAGGGTTCTTGGATCTCACGTAGGAAAGAGTTCAAGGCAAGTTGCAGAGTGCAGTGAGAAGAGATGGATTATTAAAAGCAACTCAGACACAAAGTAGGGCATCCTCAGAAAGCAAGAGGAGGAACACATCATCTTTGTTTTAAATTCTTCTATAGGGGTCTTATCTATGTCAATGGTAAGCTAAGTTATATCTATGTGTGGGTGGGCTAACAATGTGACAAAATTTATTACTTTATTGATATAACAAGAGTTATCCTTGGCATTTTAGTGTATGCGCATGTCAAAGCATGACTATAATCATCTTAAAAGTATATATTATCATGTGATATTGGTGCATCTGGATATTTTGTTGTCACAGGAGTATGTCCTTGCAGGTATTATTAAGCAGCTTCCTTAGTTGTAAATATCTTAGGACCATGGGTCATGACTGTGCCTTGTTAGTTTTAAGATGGAGCTGATTTTAACATGGTGTCACCATGATTTTCCTATGTACCTGTTTACCTAACAGTATCAATAAAAGACACTTAATAAGTTGGAAACAAAGTTGGCTTGGGGATAACATGAACTCACCCAAAATATTTCATCCTTAAAAAGATTTAAGAAATATTTCCTGAGCACACTGACTCCTATCTCCCTTTGAAGTAAGAAACACCATTTGCAGTGGAATGCTTCATTTCCGGAGCATCTGTTTTGTGCCAGCCACAGCACTAGACACGGGCATATGGTAGTTGTACTGCTGCTCAGCTCCTGCATGCCCATCCTCTCTCTTGCCCTTCCCCATCCTCATCACTCCCCACAATGACTCAGAATTTCCCCCTTCATCCACAAGCCTGCCTCCCTTGATAGCCTGGTGAAGAGTGATGTGGACACATTAGGTAATCAACAAATACTTGTTGAAGGAATGAATTGGAGGAGAATCCAAGTCTTCGGATTCCACAGGCCTTCAGCTCATGACACGTAGAGAAACAGTCACTGGTCCCCTGGGAAGCAGTATTCTCCAAAGCTGTCCACAACATCACCTGGAAAGGGGAAGGAAATTCCTTGCTGGATGAGCCGCACGCTGACTTGCACCAGGGGGCAGAGTGAGCAGCACTTTCGGAGTTTGACCTGAAGCCAGGACCTTTTCAAGGGAGTCCTCCTGTAGCCATTTGAGACCTCCCAGTAAAACAATATGTTTTCTGTGCTTCTCAGCACATTCATGTTTCTAGTCAAAGGGCTATTGGGAAATGTTAACTTTTTCTACCCATGAAGGAACAGTGGTCGCTGAGAGACAGTGTGACAGAATTGTGCTGAGGGGTCTTCACTCAGTCTGAAAGGCCAGTTCCAGGAAGCCTACAGTGGGAGGTAAAGGCCAGTTACAGTAATCCCATCAGTGGGAGGTATTCTTAGTTTTATGTACCAAAAAGACAGACAGTGTAATATTTAGAGGACAGTAAACCCCAGACCCACACTGTTCCATTAGGCTCTTCCTTACTAGGTTGTAGGCCGCACTGAGGCACTATAAGCCTAACTTTATTAAGACATAATTCAGAAATGCAAACTGAAGAAATTTTACTGCAAATGGTATTTCTTACTTCAAAAGAGAGAATTGTTTTCCCTTTTATGGTATCTTAGATATCCATTTTTTGAAAATGTTTTCCCAGCACATTACAAATTACTTCAGAGTTGGGAAATGCTCCTGCTAGGAAGAGTCTGAGTGCTCAGAGGGTTGGTCCCAAGTCCCGAACAAGACATTGTTTATTTGGGCAACTACATTCTTCTGTCAGAAGGCCTGGGGAGTTTACTATTAATCTCAAATGTAAACCTCAGTTAGAGTTGCTGCTTACAAAAGGCGACTACTACTTAACTCTTATATTCACAGCACATCTTGTTAACTCCTCCAATAAAGGAGAATTCAGCTCTTGGGTTTGAAATTTCCAGTTTTCGGTTAGGTGACCTTTAATTACTTCACCTCTGATCTCTTCTCCCACCTTTATTCTCTCCACTTAGGGTGGGACTTCCTCAGAAAACACCTGAGGGTTTAGCCTGCAGCTGAACGTGTACCAATGTCAGAGGGGACCGAGGGAGAGGCAGGAAATGGTGCCTGGTGGCCGGCACTGGGAGAGCACGCTCCCTTCCTGTCTCAGAGGGTTACTGTCTGGACAGGAATTGAAGAATCATAAATAGTACTGAATTAGAACTGCTAGAGTTAACAAAACAAACAAATGCACACAAATTTTTGTTTGGGTCATACTTATGCTAAAAATTTGTCGTTATCTGACATTCCTATGGAACCGAGTGTGCTGTATTTTATCTGGCAACCCTTTACTGAATGGATAACCCACACTTGGAAGAAACAGTGGCTGGAAGGTGGAGGCCCTCAAAGTCTCAAGAGAGGTCCTCAAGGTTTCTTTTCTAGGGCATCCTCAAGTACTCATAGTAGAAGTACAGAGTCTGTGGTGGCCTGGAGGGCAAAGACGAATGGGTCCTCTTAGCCTGGCCCACCACCGGAGGAATCCGTGTTGAATGGAGACAGAGAGGTGGAAGGAAGCAGCACTGGTGTCCTGCTTCCTCTCCCTACGGGTTCCCTCTGCCTTTCTCCCTCGTCTCTCCTGGAGGACTCTCTCTCCCCTCCACACGCCTCCTCCCCAAGAAACCAACGTAACAGATAACTCTCTTCACTTTAGTTCTCCCGTGCCAGGGTGTAGATGGGAATAAAGCGATGAACCTAACGGGCGAGCTTCCTGTGTATTTGCAGCCCAGCAGTCGAGGGTCCTCCCCAAGCTGCAGGAACTCAGGATTCCCAAACCCCGGAGCTGCAGCACTCCCGACCGACCCTTCTCTGCCGCCCCTCGTATCAGCGGCCGCCAGGAGCTGCTGTGAGGTGCGAGTGGGGCGCGCGGGTCGCCCGGGGCCTGAGTGGGAGGAGAGTCGCGCCCCGCCGCGCCCCGCCTCGCCCCGCCTCACCCCGCCTCCGGGCGCCCGGACGCCGCCGACGCGGCCGCCATTGCAGCGGCTAGTGTTTGTTATTAAACTCCTCACACAGAAAGGGCTTCGAGTAAAAACAACAACTTTCCAGTCCGGGCGGCGAAGGTCCCCGGGCCCTGGAAAGTTCTGGGACGGCCGAGGTCTCCCCGGACACCCCCACCCACACCCCCATCGGACCCTTTCTGGCTTTTTGCTTCCTCTCCTCGACTTCCCTTTTGTGCGGCCCGGGGAAGCTTCCTCAGGCCCCGCCGGCCCCGCCGGCCCCACCTGCCGCCCTGGGAGCTGTTCCTCCGCCGGCAGCAGAAGCGTCCAGCTCGGGTTTTATTTTCTCCCGAGACACCCGAGGAAGCCTCAGGTGGGTTTCCATGTCAACCTTCACCGAAATCCAAACATTTGGCGTTCTCAAAGGCAATTTAACCTCTGCCACCATTTTTTTTTCAAAGCTTAAAAAAAAAAAAAAAAGAGCTTTCAAAGCCCCAGGCTTCTTGGGGTTTCTAGTCCGAGGGTGATAACACATCTTGAAACAGGATATGTATAATTTGTTTGGTTTCACGTTTATCCTCACAAAGCTAAACAGTAATGGCTGAGAGCTATGAAAACACTTAGATAAGGAGCGGGGCTAGAGCGAGATAAAAGGGATAATTGGAAACAGAGGCGCAGCCTCCAAGTTGCACCCTCTTAAATGCTGTCACAGCTGGGCAGGCCGGGGAGCTCGTGGCAGGCCGCGGCATCTCTTAATTCTGGGCACTCCGCAGCCTCTTCTCTTCCAAGGTTTACTTATGCAAGCTTAGCTGCAATTTTCCAGAGATGCTCGGCCTGGTTCCTGGCCACCTTCCCCAGTAAGAGACCTCCTGGGACGGGAGCTGGGGATTGAACATGTGGTGAACACAGGTTTCAAGCTTTGGAACAGGCCACCTGGAAATGGGAGATAACCTGTTGAGATAAGGGATTTACCGAGGTCAGGGCGCACTGTGGGGAGCGGAGAGCAGAAGGGGTGCGGCTCCACGTGTCCAGCCGTGGGATGCAACTGGGAGGTAATATATGAGTCTAGTGAGACCACACGGGGAATACTATGTTCCTCATCGCCTCCCAAGGAAGATGCACATAATGAGCTGGCTGCCGTTCAGAGAAGAGCAATTAGGATGCTTAAGGGGCCAGAAGGGAGTGACTTAGGGGGAGAGATTAAAAGAATTAAGTATGTATACCTTGGCTGAGCTCAAAGCACAGGGAATGTGGAAACTCTATAAGCATCCTCCGAATATAAACATAAGGAGAAGTGGAATTGTTTCTCATGGTCCCTGAGGGATGGAACTGGAAGTAATAGGATAGAAGAAAAGAAAACTTAACTACCTGTTAGAGAAAGCTTCTGAACAGTCCCAGATACCAAAAGTGTCAGAGTGACACCTAATATTTTTTAAAACAAAGTCAACAAAGGGAGACACAACATGGTAGGAGAGACATAAGTTAGATAGTAGGGACTGGTTTCACAGGGATGCTTTGAAGGAAGAAGAAAATAACATAGGTCAGTTTTTTTCTTTCTTGAGACGGAGTCTTGCTCTGTCTCCCAGGCTGGAGTGCAGTGGCATGATCTTGGCTCACTGCAGCCTCCGCCTCCTGGGTTCAAGTGATTCTTCTGCCTCAGCCTCCTGAGTGGCTGGAATTACAGGCGCAGGCCACCACACCTGGCTAATTTTTGTATTTTTAGTAGATGCGGGGTTTCACCATGTTGGCCAGGCTAGTCTCGAGCCTCTGACTTCAGGTATTCCTCCTGCCTTGGCCTCCCTAAGTGCTGGGATTACAGGCGTGAGCCACCACGCCCGGCCCAGTTTCCTTTAGGGAGTATCTGAAACCTTTGAAGGCTCCCTACTGACTAGAGGTTTTTTTTTTGTTTTTTTTTTTTTTTAACCAGGTGTCTTTGCTTGGCATTCAAGGCCCTCTCTTAACTGTCCAAGCTTACCCTCCTAAAATAATCTCTCATCAGTCCACAACATAAGCACATCTTCTGAGTGTTTCTGGTGTAGTTCCTCCTTTGTGCGTGAAATTCCTCTAATCTGAAATTCTTCTCTCCAATCCCAGTGTCCAGCTATTCAAATCTTACCCACTTTTTAGGGTCTACTTATATCCTACTTCCCCTGGCTACCCCAATCCTAATGCTCCTGCTCTCTTCCTCCTCCTAGAACTCATGGTGGTACCTGACATACATTACTTGCATTGTTAGCTGATGTATTCTGATCTGATCTGGTCTTACAGATTGAGCTTCTTAGAGACTGGAGGGCATGTCCTCTCCCTTCCACTTCCCACCAGCTGTTTATTTCTCCCTGCGAGCTCTCATAAGCATTTTGGACCAGAAATCACATAATTATAGGATTATTTCTTGGTTTCTTCCTCTCTCTTGCTGCTTCATAGTTTTCTCTGTTCCTCCTTTAGATGTTGGTGCCCCCAGAGTTCCTCCTCTTTTCTCACTCTCCATTATTCCTGGAAGATCACATCCAATCCTGGGCTGCAGTGACCCTGCCAGTGCTGATGATTCCCAAATCTCTGTCCAGCTTGGCTGTTACTTCTGAGCATCAGGCCCTTGTTGGGCATCTCAAATTGGCCAACCATGTGCTCTTCAGCACTCCCAGGGTACAAATCTGAACTCATTTTCTCTTTCAAACCGTTTCTTTCTACTCTTGTGTTTCCTGTCTCAGAGAATGCCTCCTACATGCTCCCATTTGCCCGAGATAGAAAACTAAGCTCATCCCTGTCCTTCGCCCACAATCAATCACCAAATTCGGACTACCTGAATATCTGAAGTGCTTTGGTGTCAGTTCTACCACCTGAATATCTGAAGTGCTTTTGTGTCTGCCTGGGACTGTCAGCATCTTCCTACCACCTTCCTGGTAACAGACCTTACCTCCTTGACCATTGGGGTAAGCATGTCCCTTACACAATGCTCTTACCTTTTTAAGGCGAAAAGTACTTTGGCCAAAGAATAGAGTCCAGACATTAGCAGATGATCTGAGCCCAGCCTTTTCCTGGGACCTTATATTCTGAATCTTATAATCCCAGCTTTTCCTGGGACCTTATATTCTGAATCTATTCTGAATCAGACAGAAAAGATCTCCTTCTTTAGTCAGAAGCTGTAGAGATGTGATTTCAGAGCCACCAACCGGCCATGTACCCTACCAGGCCTGAAAGATGGACAGCTAACTTTCCAAGATGAGCAGAGATGAGAGCAAAAGTAGAAGAGGGATCCTGGCAGCACTCCATTTCCCCATCCATCCCTTATGGGCCAACAGCTCCCTGGCCTTTCTGTGATTCCGTTACTGAAGCGAAGAAGTTCCTCACTTTTAATTGAGCTTTTTGAGGTGGTTTCTGTCTCCTTGAAACAATTCTGATTCATAAATCTGCTACTTTATTTGTTCCCTCTGCACGGGCTGCCGTTAGTCTCATCCAGGCCACTGAAAACCTAACTGATTTCTGCAAACAACGTCACTCCCTTCTATGTCATTCTCCAGTGTGGCACCATGACCTTTCTAGAACTCAGTTTTGTTAAGATACTCCCAACCCAAATACCCAGATTTCTTTCCAAGGCTTATGAGGCCCCTCAGAGCCTCATTCCTGCTTGCTGCTTTTTCCTATCTCTTGCATTCTCTGCTCTAGTATTCCTGAATGTCCTTCAGATCCTCAGTGGGCAGTCCTCTCTCTTTTTTCTAGGCGTTTGTACATAGTGTTCATTCTGTAGTTTCTCTTCTTCAGCTAATTGTGACTTGCCCTGAAAGTCAAAGTGGAAATGTTACATTGTCAGAGAGGCTTCCTGTGATCCTAATCTGGGTTAGCTATTCTGTATTTCATTGATTATAACACTGTTTTTCACACATCTTAATGTATCTACTCATGAAATACCTTACTTATCACCACTAATCTATAAAATCCTAAGAGCAAGTCCATGTAATAGCATCATAGAACTTAGTACCTTGCTGGACATAATGAATTAATGATACCAGCTACCACCTGTTCTCAAATGTGTATCTCCCCATTGGGCTCCAAATAGATACAGGTGGCCTTCTGTATCTTTGGGGGATTGGTTCCAGGACCTCCTATGGATATCAAATGTGTGAAAACTCAAGTTCCTAATATAAAATAGTATACCATTTGAATATAACCCATGTACATCCTCCCACATATTTTGAATCATCTCTAGATTACTTATAATACCTAATCCAATCTAAATGCTGTGTAAATTGTTGTTATAGTATATTGTTTAAAGAATAATGACAAGGAAAAAAGTCTATACATGTTTAGTACAGATGCAATTTTTTTTCAAGTATTTTCAATCTGTGGTTGGGGAATCCAGGGATGTAGAAACGTATGGATACAGAGACCTGACTATATTTCTAACTGTATCCCAAACCACTTCTTTTCATGTGGTCCTTCTCCTCCAAGGAGCACAATCTAGAAGCCTAGAGTCACTTTTTTGTTTGTGTTTGTTTTTTGAGATAGAGTCTCATTCTATTGCCCAGGCTGGAGTTCGGTGGGACATCTCAGCTCACTGCAACCTCTGCCTCCTGGGGTCAAGTGATTCTCCTGCCTCAGCTTCCTGAGTAGCTGGGATTACAGTCGTGTGCCACCATGCCCAGCTAATTTTTGTATTTTTAGTAGAGATGGGGTTTCCCCATGTTGGACAGGCTGACCTTGAATGACCTGCCTGCCTCAGGCTCCCAAAGTGCTAGGGTTAGAGGCGTGAGCCACCATGTCCAGCCCTCAAGTCACTTTTTGATGCCTCCTTTCTCTCCTCCAATATCCATTCAATCAACAGCTTTGTCAATTATCACTTCTAGTCTTCATCTCTGCCAATTCTCCCAAATGGTTACCTTGATGAACTGCTTCTCACTTCAATCCAGTCTCCCAATTCAGCCAGAGTTATCTTTCTAAAAATGCAAAGCTGATTGCATCCCTCTTCTTGAAGTTCTTAAGTGATATACTCAAAAAAGAGTAGTGATCTGGCCCCAACTCACATTTTCCAGTTCACCTTCTGCCCCTTCTAGACATGTGCTACCCAAGTTACCTCAATACAGTGTTCCTGATACCATATCGTGTCATTATCCTCCATAATTTTGTCTCTTTGCATATGTAATTCCTTTTGCATAGAATGTTCTTTTTTCCTTGTCAAGCTGGCCAGCTTAAGACACTTGAGATCTAGGATGTTTGCCATAACTCCCTTCAGCAGGTTTAAGGTAGTTTTCTCTTTCCCATACTGGCCAGTCTTTAGAAATTATGATAGACATTAGTTCCTCTGAGGCTAATTATTAGTCTATGTGGCTCGGCATCTCAATAAAGAAATTAGGAATTGGGCTGAAGAGAAGTTAAGTG